CCCCCGACACAGTTTTGCGTAGGGCCCCCAGAAGTCTAGGATCTCCGCTGGGTTTGAGTTATTAATAATCAACATTTAACCTGGTAAAAAATATGTATTTATTGTTATCCTTGTTATATTTCATCTGCAACAGTAATGTGAACTTTTATAAACATCCATTTGGTCGTTAACTTTTAAATGCATCATTATGCAGAAAATATGAGCAGAGTTCTCCGCATGAAAGACCTGCGACTGACAGATCAACGAGCAGCTACTTTTCTCTCCAGTACGGTAGGAAGTTAAATTTAATGCAATGTGGAGGATGTTAACTGTGACAAGATGATCGACAGGCCAGTTTACAGTGACAGGGTGCGTACGACAGAGCGGTCCTTTAAATACGCAATTGTGTGACGTGATAGTATGTCCCAAAGCTTGCCTACTCTTCTACTACATACTCAAAAGTGTGTACTTTTTCTTCACCAAAAGAGTACATACGTTAAGGGCATAGTATAAGTAGGCAAATTGAGACGCAGCATCAGTAAGTATATTCAATACATTTTCAGTGGAGTGGAGTCAACATGGAGGTCAAAGGTCATGTAGACAATTGCTGGGGTCAGTGTAACGTCAATGCAACAACATCGCTCTCGGCTTGCAGGTAGTCATGAGAATGTCTGGAGTAGACTGTCACTTCAGCCTTTTCTCTGGGCTATTTACCTTTCCTCCACTCACTCTGACAGCAAACCTTTCAGATGTCCTCTCTAAAGCTGACATCCCCTCGGATTTTATTTCATAAAGGTCAACTGCCATACATTTTACAGTCAAAAAAACTCACAAAGAAGTCAAGTTGCCCAGACCCAAATGCAGATAAAGGAAGAAATGCACACATCTGACAGCAATCTCATCTAATGACAGCAACAGTACATCACTACAATTAGTAAGGGCTGGGTCATACAGTGCAGAAAGAGGTTTCACGGTAAAAGAAAAGGACAAATCTTTATAAAAGCTCGTTTAAGACATGTGCCAGGTTCTTAGAAATGTATTCTTATGGTATATGGTTTAGAAATTTCATTTTAAATGTAATATCTAAACTTAAAAACGTCGTGGTGTATCCATCAAGTAAAAATTATTAATATTGCATTACATATTATGGAAAGTAATGTGTTACGTTACTTTTTTTCTCATCTGAGCTGGGCTTACTCATGTCTGTCCAGTAGAGGGCGCAGCTCAAACAAACCTTTCGATTGTGCTGCCATTCTGAGTTGCATGAAGAATAGGATGCAGAAAAAAGTTCAACACTCTTCAGCAATTAAAATAAATAAATATATACATAATACACAAATGTTATGTTTATTTAAAGTGAATTTTGCTTATTAGCATATTGTTGAATTGGTTAATAAAGTGGAATTAAATACATAAAGGATATTTGTGTTATTTAACAGGCAGGTTTGCATCATATTCTGCGTTTGCATTTCACTGTTTTATTCATTTTGAGGAATACTGAACCAACCAACCAACCAACCAACCAACCAACCAACCAACCAACCAACCAACCAACCAACCAACCAACCAATTAACCAACCAACCAAACAAACAACCAACCAACCAACCAATCAATAAAATAAAATAAAATAACTTTTTTTTTTAAATAATTAATTTGGTAACATATTCAACTGTAAAATGACTGTAAAAAGCATGACACAGTATCACAGCATTTACAAAAGTCCATATTATGGCTATTAATTTTTTCTTTCTTTGATAATTAACTAATATTCTATTCAATAATACATTAAAAGATTGCTTTCAAGAATACTATCATATATTTCAGAGATATAAAAAAAAGATAATCTTAGGTAAGTGTATTTTTACTTACCTCTCAGTAGGGCTGGACGATATGGCCAAAATTTATATCATGATATATTTCTTAATTTCGGTCGATACGATATAATTCTG